GAGCCATCAGACTCCACCCAGACTCACAGGACAGACATGCAGGGGGTGATGTACAGAATTCAGGGGAACCGTGTCAGGATTCAAATGCCACCCCCCGCTGCACACCATCCCCACAGCCGCCCACTCTGCAGGCGGGTGGGCTGGGTCGAGGGTCCGACCAGACCACCAGGTGATTTCCTCAGTGCTCGCCATTCTGCAGACCTGCAGGTACGAGTGTGGCCGAATCCAAGGCCAGCCCGGCAGTCAGGAACCACCCCTTACCGGTTACAAGGCCTCTGACTTGAGCTGAAGTGTCTGTAAGGAACCAGTGACGTGGGCTTGGTCATCGAGTCAGGGCCAGGCTGTTGGTTCTGAGAAAGTTGTGACACCTTATATACAGAGAGAGAGACATACAAGAGCACACACATATGTACACATGTACACATACACGTACATGTCTGTGCCCATACATGCATGTACCTATATAGGCCTGGACAAGAGCACGCACATGTGTGGCTTTTAGTAACAGGAGCACAGAGGCTATATCCGTGTCTCACCTGACATCCACCATCGTGGCTCCAGAAGCACTGGTGACCTTGGCGCATGGGGAAATGCCGGCTGTCGGCGGCTCAGAGATGCTCTCCACAGCGGCCACAGCGTTATTTCCCATCTGTGTGACTGTGCGTCAGGGTTTGCGAGCCGAGCGGCCTGAGGTCATCACGGGTCCAGAAGCGCGCACTCGCCCGCTAGCAATGGTTCGTCCATGTCGGCGTCAGCATCCCTCCCCCAGAGGAACGGGGTGTCTTCCCGTCCCGGCGAAGCTAGCGCAGGTCTGGCATCGATCTTCTCCAGATTTTGTTATTACATTTGTCTCACAGCTTTAAAATAGTAGCAAATATGTGCAATTTATTTAAACAACACTAGGGAAATTAACGCCATGGAGGCACAGCCTCAGCAGAGGAGGATGAGGCAGGTTTTTTAAAGGAGAACAGAACAGCTCGATGAAAACCTTTCAAATCCTGCGTCTGTGATTCAGAGGCTCAGCTGAGCCTCTGCAGGTGGCCAGGTAGACCTGCATTCTCTGCACCGCACACAGGGAGACGTGGGGGGAGCCCAGATATCCAGTCCCCACCTCCCAGAGGTTGTACCTGTGGCTGGTACCCCTGCCCCAGCCCACCAACCCCCACCATCATGCGAGGTGCGTTTGGCTGATTCCATCTGCTGCCCTCACACAGACAAGCTCAGAACAAACACTGTCTCACTCCCGTCTTCTGAAGCAGTTGCTAGGACAGGTGACCCTCATTTCCCGAGGAGCAAGGTCTTGCGTCTGTGGAGGGTGATAGCCCCCTGGTCCCCTGGAGGGCTCCGTAAACACACACCACAGGCATCACCCCAGAGGGCGTGAGTCCAGGCAGGGATCTCACACTTTGTGTTTCTAACCTGCAAGCTGACCTGCGGGGAACTCAGATGAACCAATGTCTTTGGGCCTCTTAGTTGGGAAAGTCCCTGTCTAACCAGCATGCTGACGTGAGGACTCCTAGAGGGGATGTGACCTGATGAAGAAACCCCAGAAATGAGGGTAGCATGCAGCCAGATGCTCCAACCTTGAGGTCTGACCCCAGCACTCAGATCCTACCTTCAGAAATGACTTGCCTCCCTGGGTCCCCTGGTAGAGAAGGGATAACCTTCCTGAGGCCTTGAAGGGAGGAAGGATGCAGGCAGAGACGGTGGAGAACGTTCAGTGACCACAGAGTGACTCTGGCACATGGAGAGCAGTCATCTGCATCTTGGCTGCCAGGGATTTCCCTAGTGGCTCAGATGATAAAGAACCTGCCTGCAATGCAGAAGACCTGGGTTTAATCCTCGTTCGGGAAGATTCCCTCGAGGAGGGCATAACAACCCACTCCAATATTATTGCCTGGAAAATCCCATGGACAGAGAAGCCTGGTGGACTACAGTCCGGGGTCAAAAAGAGTCGGACATAATTAAACCACTAACACTTTCACCTTCTGGCTGCCAGGGAATTGGGGACACGCAGCTAGGACCTCCCTGAATGCTGTTCTGTGATGCTCATCAAGGAGCCTAGAGAAGACCACTCCCATCATCATGAGAGACGCAGGGTTGGTCACAAGGCTGGGAGGATGTCAGGTCTCCATAGAAATCAAGGCCTCTGGGGATACACACACCTCACACAGATCTTTCTGGTGAAGGTGGGATGCAACCTAGGGAAGCTTTTGGTTTTTAACTGCCTTAAATGCAGTTTAAATGCTTTTAAGTGCAGGAATTCAACACAGAAGACAGCTGGGCTTCTGGTGGGGAAAGTCCCAGAGGGGGGGTCTCAGTGGAGTATCGTTAGCCTAGATAGGTTTCTCCACTGATGTAGCATTAGGTTTTGCCTACAAAGGTCTGTACAGTCAAAGCTATGGTTTTCCAGTAGTTGTGTGCGAATGTAAGAGCTGGACAATAAAAAAAGGCTGAACACTGAAGAATTAATGCCTTTGAACTGTGGTGCTGGAGAAGACTCTTCAGAGTCCCTTGGACAGCAAGGAGATCAAATCAGTCAATCCTGAAGGAAATCAACCCTGAATATTCATTGGAAGGAATGATGCTGAAGCTTAAGTATGAATCCTTTGGCCACCTGATGGGAAGAGCCAACTCATTGGAAAAGATCCTGATGCTGGGAAAGATTGAGGGCAAGGAGGAGAAGGGGATGACAGAGGATGAGGTAGTTAGATGGCATCACCGACTCAATGGACATGAGTTTAAGCAAACTGCAGGAGATCGTGAAGAACAAGGAAGTCTGGTGTGCTGCAGTCCACAGGGTCACAAAGAGTCGGACACGACTGAGCGACTAAACAACAACAAAAAATCAACATTAGGTTTGGGCATTCAGGAAGGATACAAGTTGTTTGTTTTTTTAATCAGCTAGTTTTGTCTGCCTGTGTCTAATATTTCTATGCAACTTTTTTGCAAAAGGGAGTGAGGGAGGCTCTCTGTCCACAGTGGCCAATACCAAGACCAGCAGGTTCTCACTGGGTCCAGAGCTCAGTTGAGGGTGGAGACCCCGCCGTGACTGGAGAAGGGCCATGTAGGGCCAGGTGCCTCCAACCAGGCTTGGGCTATCCTGGTCCAAGGTCTGTCTCCGTACCATGAGTTTCCATGTGCTCCTGGCTCTGAGGCTTGGAATAAAATGAACTGTGGAAACGGTGCAGAGGCAGCCACATGGGGGGCCTTGAAAATAAACCTGGAGGCCACACAGGGGTAGGTGTCACATGTACACAGGAGTTCTGTGGGTTCTTTTAATTATAGAATTTCATGTACATTATAATATCCTGAAGTATAGAAAGGTAAAAGAAATCAAGTAAAATAAAACTCACTGGTGACTAGAGAAGGCCAGAGTTCTCATTTCTGTGTGTTTCCTTCCAGCCTTTTCTCTACCCTTTAAAAAAATCATGGGACTCATATCACCCGTAACTTTGACACCATTTCTTCATTTGCTATTATTGTATGAAATTTTCTTCGTGTATTCAAAAAGTAACTTCTAATGACATGCAATATCCCAAAATATGAATGTAGTGCAATGAATTTAACTACTATTTACTACTATCAGAATTCCGGAATTTTTTCCTGATATTTTTACTATTTTATATTTGCACACTATTATCATAAAGACAACTACAATGAACATCTTTATTTGTAGGGTTTTGTCCACACAGTTTCACTGAGACAGGTTTCAGTTCTGGAGTTATAGGTCAAGAACGAGGACTTTTTCTGAGGCCCTTGACAGTCACTGGCTAAATGCTGGTCCCAGCAGTGGGGAGGTCCATGACTTCAGAGCAGCCGACATCCAGTCCCACTTGTTCCCATCAGGCATGGGCTCTTATCAGTCTAATTTCCATAGCAACTCTCTGAATTCAGTACTGTTATACCATCCCTACTTTATAAAAGAAGCAGCTGAAGCTTAGAGAGATTTAGGTCCTTGCCCCATGTCCACAAATCTTTGGACGAGGGTCTGTGTGATGCCAAATCCCACACCCTCAACCATCACCCCCTGCTGACTCATAGCATACACTGCAGTACCAAGGACTCACTTTGTTTACTCCTGTCACTTTGATGGGTGAGGAAGATACACTGCTTTAGTTTGGTTTTGTAACTGGAAGATGTGAACATTTTTCATGAGTTTATCAATCCTTTGTATTTATTTTGCTGTAATTATCTATTCATGGTCTTTTTCCTGTTATAATAAAGTTCCATTTTTTATTGATTTGTAAGAACTCTTTATATAGAAAGGTTATTAACTCTGGTCATATTTGTTGTAAATTCATCCAAAAATATGGAGAAGGCAATGGCACCCCACTCCAGTACTCTTGCCTGGAAAATCCCATGGATGGAGGAGCCTGGTAGGCTGCAGTCCATGGGGTTGCAAAAAGTCAGACACGACTGAAGCGACTTAGTAGCAGCAGCAGCAGCAGCATCCATAAATAAGGGTTTTAAATTAAAATGTATGAGTACTTTCCTTTGTCATTTTTTTCCCATTATTTTCATCTTTAAAAGCCATGATCTACTTGTTAGTCAGCTATATTTTCTTTACCCCCACTCAATCTGTAGTCCATTTCTTTGTACAGATGAGAGGCTTGCTAGAATTTTTCCCCCTAGCACATACCCACACACACACACGTTTCCCAACACCATCCAGTCTTCTCCTGGATCTAGATTCTAGGGGTTTCCCTGGTGGTTCAGATGGTAAAGAATCTGCCTGCAATACAGGAGACCAGAGTTCAATCCCTGGGTCAGAAAGATCCCCTGGAGAAGTAAATGGCAACCCACTCCAATATTCTTGCCTGGAGACTCCTATGGACAGAGGAGACTAGCAGCCTATAGTCCATAGGTTTGCAAAGAGTCTAACATGACTTAGTGATTCACACACACACACACACACACACACACACAGATTCTAAGTGATGCCTTTTCCTCTGCAAAACCTAACCAGGCTTATCTGCCTCTTCTCTCCCTTTCTGCAGAAAGGAAAGAAGAACGCAGCCCTGGACCCCGTCCAGCCTCCGAATGACACGCTGCTGCCATGGCCACAGCGCCAGAGCTCCAATGGGCTGAGGAGGCAGAAACGGGACTGGGTCATCCCACCCATCAACGTGCCGGAGAACTCACGCGGGCCCTTCCCACAGCAGCTGGTGAGGGTGAGTGGAGAGCCTCCTGCCAAGGGGGCTACTCTCAGCTTTAGTCTAGGCTTCTCCTCCCAGGATGTCGAGAATCGAGCCTGATGGGCATGTTCCTAGAGCTTGGGACGGCTCTGCACTGGGTGTCTGGGAAGATCAAGATTTCGCCTTTTCAGGAGCAAGATCAGTATTGCACAGAACAGAAAAAAATCAGAAGGCGGCCGCATCCTCCAGGGTGGACAGGCCTGCTCACTTTGGGTCCTCTCTTTCCGGTCACTGTCAAGTGACAACTCTGGTGCATGGGAGGAGACGGGACAGGAACCTGGGTCGTGGCCCTTGACCTCTGACATCTTCCCTTGATCTGTTTGTTCACACTTCTTCCCCATTGTGACTAAGATGCTAAATGGAGAATGATGGCTTGTCTGTGTTGACAGCGACCTTGGTGAAGTCAGAGGGCCTGAGAATGAGCCTGGGGTGCCAGGGGGCAGTTCTGTGTCCCTTCCCTTGGTGTTACCTGCTCCCGACAGCCACCATGAGGTTGCTTCTCCTGAAGGAGGGAAAGACTCATTTCACAAATTCATGTTTCAATAATCAAGGCCATCAACTAGCATTTTCTTCTTCCCTTTGAATGAAAATTGCAACCCAATATGAGCAATAATTTGATAAAATGGTAGTGAGAATTCCGGTAGATAATGCCCTCCGTGGAGAGTGCCTTGCCCCACTCCATTATTAAGGCGTCATCTTCATTCCTTGGCCTGATTTGTCTGTTTTGTTTCCGATTCTGTTTGATGAAGAAAGGGAGGGTGGTGTTTAATATGCAGAGATGAAGCCACAAACTTCACAGAGACCCCAGGTCAGACACCCCACCACACACACATCACAGCCAGAGTGACTTGTCATGAACATCATCCTGCCTTCTCCACACGTGATGCTGTGACTTAAGAAATATATAGTTTGGTGTTCATCCCCATTATTCACCAGAACTCCTAAAGCCTGTGCAGTTTCCTAAAAGATAAGAGTGAAAAAGATGTCTACAGACATTCATAAGAAACCCTGTCTAGCACAGCTGAGTTTATGCACAAGGGGACTTTTGGAAAGGAGGGGACCCTCGTCATCAGGGGGACCAACCCTGAGACTGGAGGGCTGGGACCTGTACTCCTGCCACACCCACATCCAGGATGGAAAGGGGGCTGGAGGTTGAACCAATGGCCATGATTTAATCAATCATGCTGATGTGATGAAGCCTCCATAGAAACCAAAAAGGACGGGGTTCAGAGAGCCTCAGGGGGTGAGCACATGCAGATATGGGGTGCCCCTTTCCCACCTTACCCCACACCCCTCTTTCATCTGATTGTTCCCAAGCCACAGCCTTTACAATAAACTGACAAGCTAGTGAGTGCACATTTCTGAATTCTGTGAACTGCTCTAGCATGTTAATCCAACCTGAACCCGAAGAGGAATTGTTGGAATCTCAAATTTACAGCCACCCAGTCAGAAGCACTGCTGGAATATTCTGCTGCCCTGGTTCCCAGTCTCCCAGATTAATGGTATTATCACCTGACACGCGGAAATTCCCTCCTCTGTCTCAGGCTGCACACAGGCCTGTGAAAGTGGAGGAGACTTCCATGGGCAGAGCCTTATCCTGCGAGGGTCCCCAGGATCTGCTGGGTCCGTTAGTCCTGCCGTGTCTGTCTTCTGCTGGATGATGGAGGAAAAGACACAGGTGTGCTTTTCTCCTGACCCCCTCCAGGATCTCAGGGACAGAGAAGTTGTGGCTGGTGATGGCAGGGGGAGGGCCGGCGTCCCCCCACTGGCAGGGGCTCACCACCCCACCGGCCCACGGGCATGTTGATGGGGACACGTCTTCTCACAAGCCACAGTGATGTCTGCATGCTCCAATGGGGGAAAATGTACCCCCTCCCAAGTTAACACAAAGCTTGCACATCGGGCAGGCAAGCAGCAGTAGGCAGAGGTTCTCAGGTCCTTGTACACACAAGCTCCTGATGACTGGTCTTGCTGGCGACCAGGCAAGGTGTCCAGTGTCAAGTGGGCAGAGCCGCACACTCCACATGCCAGAAACCAGCGGACACAGTTCAGACTCACTGGGGGGCAAGCTCTCGTGTTTTCTAGTCAGAAGTGTCGCTGTGGTTTGGAGAGAGAGTGTCCTCTGCTCCTCAGACGTCCGATGTGTCTGCAGCCCTTGGAGGGAGGCTACCTCCAAGTCGATGTCTGCTCTGATGCAGATTGCAGGAAGAGAGGGTGGCTTAGGGTGGGCTGATGCTATGACGAGCTTTCCCACAATTTCAGAAACGTAACTCAGTACCTGCTTATTTCTTGCTCCTGAAACAGTCACTTGGGGGTGGTCACTCAGGCCTCCAGAGTGAAGTGCACAGGATGGCTGGGCCTGGACGTGGCAAACAGCAATTGGGCCAGAATCCCACTGGCCAAATTGCAGGGGAACTGGGGTATGCAGCCCAGCTCTGCCCCAGGAGGAGGGCTATGTGTGATGAAGCACTGGGCGCTGACCCAGCAGGTTTCCTGGAGATGAGAATGGTGCATGTCCTTTCCTCTCTAAGGGTCCCTCTGCTCTGAGGAGAGGGTGGCGGAGGTCAGCGATCTGACCTGACTTACTGCCCTTCTCTGAGCTGGTCTGTCTTTACCCTGCTGTCCTGCTGTCCTGCTGTATGTCCTCCATACTTAGTATGCTCCGACATCATGCTCATTATTTGTTCATCTAAGGACAGGCCTCCTGAAGGCCAGGCCTGCCTGCATCTCTAGTGCTGTGAACAGTAGGCACTGCCTGTGTTGAATGAATGCATGAGTGAGCGATTGAAGCCACCCCAGTGGTGAACACTGTCCTGGGCGCCCATGGTAGCCAAGACACAGGGCATCTGGGGGATCTTGGCACTGTTGTCCTGGCTCCTCTGGGGTCAGACTACTTCCACCGGAATCAGGCATCCAAGTTGAGCTGATCCTTTTGGGGAGATGAATCTTCAGCAGACGGAAAATAGAGTCTCCATTATGTTTTCTGTACAGTATTTGTGTTTTCCCAATGGATTCCAAAAGGCTTCCCTGGTGGCTCAGATGGTAAAGAATCCACCTGCAGTGCAGGAGACGCAGGTTCAGTCCCTGGATCGGGAAGATCCCCTCAAGAAGGAAATGGCTATCCACTCCAGTATTCTTGCCTACGAAATCCCATGGACAGAGGGGTCTGGCAGGCTACAGTCCATGGAGTCTCAAAGAGTCAGGAACGACTGAGTGACTAACACACACACAATGGATTCCAAGTCATTACCCAAGAACTCAGCCCAGAAACTCACGCATACAAATGCACATGCACAGGTGTGCACACACCCGTTCCCACTCCACACGCAGACCCACACTCTCACGTGCTCACTGTCTGCCTCCTCCTGCCCTCTCTCCCTCTCTCCTCCCCCCTTTCCTCCTTAAACTCTTAAGTAGCATGGACAAGGGTTTGGGGTGCTTTTCTGACCCATTTCTGTCTACAGGAAGTCCATGAGTTTCCTGTCAGTTTTCTTGGAGGGGAGGGGTGCTCCTGAAAGAAGCCCCCAATCACAGTGAATGTGAATACAGCTTGATGGGAGCGGGAAGCCGGGTGCGGAGCATGGAGGTGCAGCTGGGATCAGCTGCAATTCTGTGCTCATTAAGGCATTTCATTCTGATAAAATATGTTAAATGAAAAAGTGGGAGGGAGAGGAGCAGGCAGAATGTTCTTCCCAAAAAACCTCCGTTAATTACAGGCTTTTTCCTTGGAAAGGATATCATGTTTCTTCACAAGCCTTCCTTCTGCTGTGCGGGGAGAAGAGATAATAGGTAGGCAGAGGGGAGTCCTGGGCCAGGCAAGGGTCGCTGTGGCTGGCGGGGCTGCCGGGAGCTATGATGGCCATGGCGAGGTGTGGAACCACTTGGGGGCTCTGCCCACCCAAATTAAATCACAAGCTAAATTAAGTGGTGAGTGAGGAGACACAGCCACTTCATGGAGATCCCATTCGGAAGATCCAGGCTGTGCTTCCTCTCAGAAGGAAGGAGGAAGCAGTTCACAGCCATTAAGCCAACCCCCTAGGAAGCTGCACAGAGGCTCTTCGTTATCCAGGATCATGGAAAAATGGCAGGAGGGGACCCCCGGCAAAGGGTAACAGGCATCCCTCCTGCTCCTGAATTCCAGCTCTGTCTGGGCTCCGGATGGAACAGTTTGGGGCCACCTATGGATGCCAGGCACCGTGCAGGCTGGAGAGTCAGAAGGGAGAAAACACACAGCCCTTTTGTGGCCTCAAAAAGCAGCAAGCATCAATTTCCCACTTGTCATCCAGAGTTTGGTCCCTTTACTACCTCAGTTAAGACACCTTCACATGTAGATTAGAGGAGGGTTTTGAAAAGACACTCGCTTTTCTAGTGTGTATGTTAGGTTTGACTTCTGGCAAGATTCAGAATGAGGGTAAAAATCAAACTTTTAGAAAGAGGACACATTTCTCAGCTGAGTCTAATAAGAATTCAGAACTGGTTAACTTGAGAGGTTGTCCAGGGCAACCGTAGGGTCGGCTCAAGATGACGAGGAGGCAGGCAATGCTCCTGGGAGACAAGTCCTTTAATTTTGGAAGTTGGCATTTTAATAGACAATGAGTCATCCAAACCCATCCTCAGAGCCCTTGCCCAAGAGCCGGCCTGGAGAGGGAGCTCTGAACAGAAGGCTCCAGAAGGAAATCCTTACATAATTGCTCTGTGTGGAAGATGGCCACACGGAGAAGATGAGCCGGAGACTCCCCTAGAGTAGGGAGAGCAGGAACTGGGCTTCAGGTGGCTTGGGAAGGGTCATAAAAAGCAGCCCCTCAACATCTGATAACCCAAATGAACTTCAACTAACTGAAGTCAAAGGCTTTCTTCACATGTTCTTGAGAGTTTAGTTCCCATTTTGTGCATGTGGACCACACAGCCTCAGGTCCATCCACAAATGTTTACAGACCTTTGTGTAAAGAGAGGATGACCTGGGGTTGGGGAACAAG